TAACGGCAAAACTTATCACGAACAGCAACCGCTCTGTTACGAAAGAAATTCGATTGTCCAATGAAACAAGCTCGAGCCTCCTTGATGCGATATTCAACATCAGGATGAGCAGGCACTAGGTATGTGGAGAAAATCTCATTACCCAATACTTTCATACTGCCAACACGTCGAAGTCTAAAGCCCTGATATCTCGAGCACGCAAGTATACACAAATCCTCGCTGGTAAGTATGTGTCCGTCACCGTCCACTTTAGCATTCTCCCCACATGTCATGTACAACAGGCTGCTATCCTTCCATCTCATCCCCCAGTCATGTAGTGGTAGTGTTAGATCGTGCATCATCTGAGCCAACATAGTTGAGGAGGCAGAGACAAGGTAGCAGTTGTCCGCCCACACAAAGTGGTTCACAGTTGTCCGTCGCTCATACTCACCACAGACGCCCTCCAGCACATACCCCACACCTCTACTGTCCCAATCCCGAAATATAGGTCCCCACATGGCACATATGATAAGATTAAATAAAAGAGGCCCCTCAGGGCCGCCCGTCCGTATGCAGACGTCCCAGTTGATGTCGTGAATGGCCATACCCTCGACGACTAACGACCCCGTAGTGCAAACCAGCGGTGATAGAAAAGCGTACTGGAGATAGGCCGGAATATTGGCATGGCACATAGCACGTTTGGCGTTTAGAAGGCTGCAGTGGTCGAACGCTTGTTTGATATCGGCGTTAGCGATATGGGCCGTCTGATCTTTTCCCCAGATGTCCCCGTGTTGAGCCAGAGCCTTGAGGGCCCCCACAATTTCCACCGTCTTACGTCCCTCCTGGAAGCCGTAGATGCCCAGGGGTCCCATGAGGCCAGCCCGAGACACAAATTGTTCGACCAAGATCACCACGCAAGCAGAGTACCAACGGCTGAGACTGTTTTGCAGACAGAGGTACCGCGCATCTGTCAGCGATGTCAAGCTCGGCAGCTTGGGCATGAAGGCGATCAAAATCTGCCTCCAATCCTGCGGATACTGCCGTGCCAAGCGAAATATCTCATCAAACATCCGAGCAACGCCACGCAAAGTCGCCCACGGCAATGCCTTGAGGATTTCACAAGGCAGCCTGTCGGGGCCGGTGGCACGCTTGGACTTGAGACGTGACCGTGCCTGGCATACCACCGCCATTGTCAGTCCCTCAGTGCAGTACCCGTCACATAGGTTCTGTTGTGCATCCCTCCTCAACTCCTCCAACATCGCCATATCCCGTCCTCTGACCTCCTCCGAAGTATACTTCTGTCTGGTATGTGCTCTGATCTCCTCCACCCACTCCTCCCTGTCCTCAGATATCCGTCCCTGCACGATGAGGTGCTTGATACCACCACGCTCTTTGCGCCTGGAGGCAGGAGAGGTCCACGCGGCCAACGCCGCACGATACTCCCTCCGCAGTCCGTTGGCACGTCTGCGCAAGCTGGGCACATCCACTGACGCTGGCAGAGGCTTCCGTCGCAAAATCTCCTGGCAGGCCGTGAGTCCTGCAGGCCTAATTGGCGGTAGTCCCCGTCCCGTGGTGGCAGTCGTGAATTTGATATCCTCCTGCTCAGTACAGGCCCGAATAGTGGTCGACACAAGGTCCCCTGGAGAACAAATAGTATTGGCATCTCCCAAGACCCGATCGATTTCCTTTCGCGCCATATTGAGGTCCCCCCAATTCACAGTCTTATAACCAACCAAACTCTTTTCACGAGCTGCCGTCGGGATACTACGTTTGACCAGCTCAGCGCCTGTGTCACTAAAAGTCCCCTGAAGCAGGCCATGGTCGCTGAGACGACTACGATTTGTCTTCCCCCCATTACTCATGATCGTTTCAACCGTCATCTCATCGATCACCCACGTCCTGGGAACAAAAATGTAATCAAGAACCTTCTTACACGTCCCCCACCGAGATACTCCGTAGCTCTCCCATGTGTGTAGTCGTCGTGGCAAGAACGAATTGGCAGCCTTCATCCCCAGGCGCCCTAGAAAGCAAAGAACACGCTCGCGCAACTGTTGTCGTACGTCCCTCCTCACCCGCTGTGCACCTCCCTCCTCGCAAGTCCTCCTCTCCTCCTTGGTAGCACTTCCCACCGCCTCATAGACAGTCCCAGTGCGTGAGCACTGCAGCTGAGTTGATGGGGATAGCTCAACGTTGGCGTCGAGCAGCACAGAGACAGTCGCTCCCTTCCAGCGGCTGCGCAGAGTGAGAATAACTGATTCGAGCGTGTCCAACACCACGCACTGCACATCTACGGCGTTCTCGACGCCGGGGTCGGGAAGATACGCAGAGGCAACTATCACAGGGGCACTTCCACTACCAAAGACCACCACACAGAACCGTTCATATTGACATATTGATTCACGCACACACGTACTCCACTCTTTGTTAAATAATAACCCACACTTACCGTCACAACTCACACGATATGATAGACCACACCGTCTGATATATGCATCGAATTTGCCTCCAAAAAGATTCTGGCATTCCTGGACACCCCAGATGCAATCTCGCATTGAAAGGCACCTCAGAATCTCATTCCCCTTGAAATTGGCCGACCCCGCCCGATTGAGGTTCCAGCTACCCAGTCGGATCCCCTTGAACGGTGTTCGGCGTCGTCGTCGTCACACCCTCCTGTTGACTTCCGTCTCGATATCAGCCTTCGTCTTAGTAAATGCAGGTATGAGCTGATGCAACCTGTCGACAGTCTCACTCGATACCTCCCATGTCGCCCGCGTCGTGGTGAACTCGGCCAGAAGCATCGGCCTCGGAGAGGCCGTCGTGGGCACTGTCCATATAGTCGATTTGGGCGGTCCCATTTCCCCTCGCACAGCAATAACCTCGATACCAATCTGTGTACACATGCTCCGAATAGTGCCGCAGAATCTCCCCACCGCCTTCACGTGGTCCCTCTTCCACTCTGGGCATTCGACACTGACTTTGATCGACTCAGGGTTGATAACCTGCTTCATATTCTCAATGAGGCACTGTGGTGCAGCGATCTGGATTCCTGGAGGAGGCGCGGGGCGTTTAGCAGGGGGTACCGTCACAAGGTCGATGCACCGTTTGACCCTCCAAATAATATCCCTGTCGGTCCCTGGCTTGAATTTGATTTTGGCCGATCCGAACATGTAACGGCCAGCGTTAATGCGCTCAGTACCGTCAACACACACGTGCACACGATCATCCTCCGAAAGACAATGATTTGTAATGTTATCTATGAGCACCTTCACATCCTCCCACATGAGCATTTCCTGAGACCTCCTATCCCTGTCACTCCAGTTGGTGACTCATCCCTTGAGTTCAACATACGTTGGAGAGAAGTAGGTGGTTCCAGGAGCCTGGTATCTTCCCGTCCTGGTATTGTCGGGCCTCGTCGAAGCGTCACTTGCAACTGAACCCGCACGAACCTGTCCCTGGAGCCCCTGGACGATCGTCTCTCGATCGTTAACCTTGATTACCGCCGGGAGACTCGTAGAGCTTGCTAGCTCGACTTAAGTTCAGAAAACCGACAGCACCTACCAACATTGCGACTTATAGGAAATATTTTTGACCTCTGAATGCGACAGACGGACGCGTCTGATGTCTGCCAATCGACTCCTGTCATTACCAGCCCTGCAGCCCCCCTACAGCCCGAGTTAAGTGCAGAAAACCGACAGCACCTCTCAGGATGACTCGAAAGATACAATAGTTTCACAGACCTAATTCGGACAGCAGACTGAGTTCCGAGCTCTGGATTCGACAGGCGGACGCGCCTGATGTCTTCACATCGATTCCTGTGACCACCAGCACTGTAGCCCCCCTCAGCGTAAGTTGAGTGAAGAAAACCGAGAGCACTTCTTAAGATGACTCGACCAATACGAATAGTTTCGCGATTCTAGATCAGGCAGCAGACCGAGTTGAGAGCTCTGGATTCGACAGACAAACGCAACTGATGATTCTGAATCGGTGTCTGTAAATATCGGGTATGTAACTGTCCTACAGCTCGAGTTGAATAGGTTTGCAGACCTAGCTCGGCTAACAGACCGAGTTCAGACCTCTGCATTCAACATGCGAAAACGCCTCATCATTCTGCATCGATTAGCTGTGCTTACCAGCTCTGTAGCTGTCCTAAAGCTCGAGTTATGTTCAGAAAACAGTTCGCGCATGTCAAAATGACTCGAGACAGCCGATCCCGCCACAGTGCTTTTCGATAGTAATATTCACCCGATCGAGCTGAGATCAAGATGGCGAGCGGGAATAAGATCGAATATCACAGGAAGAACTACTAGAGCTCTAACGAATGTTCTATTTTTGAGAATAAAATTTTCAACCGACCTAAAGGGAGCAAAAGTTCGGTCGAGATTTTTCGAGCCAACTAGCTCTCCAGCGCGCCGGAATTACTCTAAGCTTCCAGCAATAACTTGCTGAGGGAAGCTTTACGAGTTATAACTTGCTCAGGGAAGCTCTACGAATTACTAGCTCTCCAGCGCCCCGGAATTTCTCTCAAGCTTTCAGCAACTAGCTTAGGGAAGCTTTACGAGTCAAGTTACCACATCTTCTTTTCTGGCCGGGTCTACGCGCCGGAATTCCTCTAGCCCATCGATAACGGAGAGCTCTACGAGATATAACTTGCTAAGGGACGCTCTACGACTTGTTTTTCTGCGAAATCGACCGTAAGTTATCACATATTCTTTTCTGGTCGGGTCGAGCAATTCGCAGCGTCCAAAACCCGGACAGCGAAGAGACTCTCGGGGACGGGAAATCTTTCCTGGAGATCCGTGGAGCCCCCTCTGAAGCGCGGAAGCGCTGCCAGAATCGCTTCCATGCGTGCCTGCACGCATGCAGGCATGCGTGGAAGCTTGCCAGAGGCTTCCCCGGACGCGTTGCCGGCCGCCGGGGTTTCTGCGAGGCCTGTGGCCGCCGTGGAAGAGCTCCTGGCTGGAATCACCATCGTCCAGCTTCTAATCTTAAACCCTTTAGCTCTCAGCGAGCTCTCCGGAAGGTAGCTTCACCCCGCCGGAATTCCTTCAGCTCATCGGTGCAGAAGAGCTCTACGAGGTACTGGCGCCGGCGGTGAACCGTCAACCTGGTCTTTTTTGCGTCTTTGCTGGGACCGTCTTGGCCACTAAGGCCAGGTCCAACAAAGTATCAGGCGAAACAGATCCTCTTATTTATCACGCAAGCAGTCAGCTCTTATACCACACAGCGAAGCTGAAGGAATAAAGAGAAACGCATGCCGCAATGACACAATCAAACGCAAAGCACACAAAGATAAAACGAATGAGTCAGTGAACAGCGGGGCTGATGGATTAAACAAGAACACAGATAAAGAAGAAACAATGTGTGACTTATCCCTGCGAATGATCAAAGAAGGTCTGCACTACCTGTGTGAGCACATCGCATACGCGCTCCGCCGCAGATAGTTCCGTAACTGCAACAGTGGCGCTTGGTGGCAGACACCAAGCCTCAAGATACACATCCATGAAAATGATGTCGGTCTGCGAGAAGATATATTAGTACCGCAGACCAATCAGTATCCACACCCACCACAGGCACTTCCGCGGCTACAAACACCCCCATCAAAGCTGGCTTTGATAAGGCAAGGATAATGTTACGACGTGAGAGCCAGGAGACCTGGCCAAGAACTGAACATGCACACACAGAATTCTTAGAGCACAAAAAAAGAGACTATGCAATCACAAACAACAATCCAATACAATAAGTTCGGAATGAAAGGAAGCACACGAAGAAAAACGAATAACTACCACAGAGGCCGAACCTGAGATTTACACCTTCGTTCACAGTCCGTCAACGTCCTACCGAACCTATACACTTCGTCAAACACGATGTTGGCGCCTTTAGAGCTCTTAGCAGGCTTGGCACTGCTATGATATCGTTGGCCTTTGCCTCTGCCTTTGCGGTGCCCTCGTACATCCCCTTTTCCATCAGAACGCTTGGAATCCGGAGGAACAGCTTGGAACTCCCCCTCCGACTGACGCACAGTCTTGGAGACGTCCATCCGGACACGGACAAACGCATCAGAACCCGGATTCGATATCCCATTGAGCGTGACGGGACGATTCAGACACCCCTGGGACGCTCCTGACAAGGCGTGGCTATCAGGATCAGCCTGCACATTCGGAGAAGACTCCGCTCTCGAGGGTGCCTCTAGCTCCTCCTCAGCCTCCACAGTCACTTTCCCAAGAAGAACCCCTGAAGCTCCTCTCTCCATCCCAGCGACAATCTCTGTCTGACAGCCGACTTCAATGAAAGTCCACAACATCCGCACAAGAAATCTCAGAATGTGTCGTAACGGCCGCCTCCTCCTTGGGTAGCACACTCAGGCAAGCATCATCCGTCTGCACTCCTGAGTCAACAAGGGAACGACAAGAAAGAGTCTCCGAGATAGTCGCAACGGTAGCCTCCACCTCCTCCTCCGCCAAGCGTGTATCAACCGTCTGCACTCCAACATCAACCAGCGATTCAGAAGCCTGCACTCCAATACCTACATCAACCAGCGACTCAGAAGCCTGCATACGGCAAGAAAGATTCTCCGAAACAGTCGTAATGTCAGCCTCCTCCTCCAAACTGCGTTTAACAACAGGTGGATCGCGCAAGAAGAGATAATCTAGAACCAAATCGGCAGTCGCCCGCTCCAGCCCTGGTGGTGGGAGACACGTAGGTGGCACCAAACCATCCAGAGGCAAACGAATAGGTAAATGCACACAGTATCCGTTTTGAACAGCCAGCGCCCGACGCATGATGCGAGCACTTGCACTCCGTACGTGTGGCATAGCGAAAGATTGCAGAGACTGCCTCGGAAGCCCCAGCAAAACAAATCAATTGAAGACCACTCAAGGCGATCAAACGTGTCAAATGAATGGCAGTGCAATATCACTCTAGGCGACAAACGTGTGAAACAAATCAATTGAAGACCACTCAAGGCGATCAAACGTGTCAGAAGAATGGCAGTGCAATATCACTCTAGGCGACAAACGTGTGACTCCCTGACGCGCACTCGATCCCACTGGAGGTTACCCAGGCAGAGGGGATCAAATGTCACGCGCCTTGAGCCGAGATTTTCTTGGGCCGGGAACCTCGTAGAGCTCCTTTCACGCGTAAGAGTGCTCAGAGTCGAAGAGAGAGCTTCTGGAAGAATTTCTCGAAAAAGGGAGAAAATGTTTTTTTCGTGTCGACAGAGAGATGGTTCCCCCAAGTGTTTTGATAGTGAAAATGCGCGTATAGAGCTCATACTAAGACAGAGAGGCCCTCTGAATAGTTTACAGGTGGAAAAAATGCTTTCTCAAAATGAATGATGGAATATCTTTTTAAAAAATTGCAAAACCACCCAGAAGTTATCACTTTCTCCTTTCTCGCCGGATCGACCAACTAGCTCCGCCCCGCACCGGAATTCCTCTAGCTCATCGATACCGAAGAGCTCTACGAGGTACTAGAAAGCTTCCCTGGCGAGCACGCTTTCGTGAATCCTCTCTGACGCTCGCGGGGTCTGTTTTGCAGCGCTGCTGAAGTATTGCCAGAATCGCTTCCAGCCGTGCCTGCCCCTCAGCCGGCACGCGTGGACTGGCACCGGCGGTGAAGCGTCAACCTGGTCTCCGCCGGGAACCTCGTAGAGCTCTTTTAACGCGGGAGAGTGCTAAGAGTCGAAGGAGAGAGCTTCTCGAGGCATTTCTCGAAAAATTGAATCTTCAATTTTGTCATGTCGATAGAAAGATGGTTGCGCCAAGTGTTTTCAAAGTGAAAGTGCGCCTTCAGCGTCATATCAAGACACAGAGGCCCTCAAAAATGTCGAAAGATGCGAAAAAGCTTTCTTAAAATAAATTGTCAAATATCTTTCAAACATTTGCAAAAATACAGAAAAGTTGCCACATTGTCCGCCTCGGCCGGCTCGACCAACTGGGCGACGGCGGTAAATCGTCAACCTCTCTTACCGCCGGGTGACTCGTAGAGCTTCCTGACTATATATAATGTAGAGAATAAATTGCAGAGAACGAATAGTTTTTTAGCCCAAGCGCTTTCAGACCTCTCGATGCAACAGCCGAACGCCCCCTGATGCTTCTGGATTCTCTTCTGTACGAGCTCTGTAGCTCTGCTACAGCCCGAGTTACGTGCGCTAATCAACAGCACATCTGAAGATAACTCAAACAAAACAAATAGTTTCCTAAATCCAGCTCGAGTATCAGACCGAGTTCAGGCCTCTGAATGCGACAGGCGGACGCGTCTGATGTCTCCGAATCGATCCCTGTGATTACCAGCCCTGCAGCTCCTCTACAGCCCGAGTTAAGTGCAGAAAACCGACATCGAGTTATGTTCAGAAATCCGACAGCGCGTATCAAGATGACTCGAAACGGCCGATCCCGCCCGTGTGCTTTTTGACACTAAAAGGTACCCGATCGAGCTGAGATCAAGATGGCGAGCGGAAATAAGATCGAATATCATGGGTAAAATACTCGAGCTCTAACGAATAGTCAATTTTTGAGAACGAAATTTTCAACCGACTTAAAGTCATCAAAAGGTCCGTCGAGATTCTTCTTGCAACTAGCTCTCCAGCGCGCCGGAACTTGGTAGCGTCCAAAACCCGGAGAGCAAAGAGACACACACCGGAAAACCTGCCTGGCAAGCCCACGGAAGCTCGCGTGAAGCTCTTCTGGGTCTCTGGGGGGCTCCCTGGCAGCGCTTCCGAAGCGCTGGCAGAAACGCTTCCACGCGTGCCTGCACGTGTGCGGGCACGCGTGGAAGCTTGCCGAAAGCTCTCCCGGACCAGTTGCCGGCTCGAACGACCTGCTGCGAGAATTCTGGACCGGCGGAGATGGGCTGCTGGCGGGCACCACCGCCGTCCGGCTTCTAATCTTAAACCCTTTAGCTCTCAGCGAGCTCTCCGGGAATTACTCTAAGCTTCCAGCAATACCTTGCTCAGGCAAGCTCTACGAGTTACTAGCTCCACCCAACGCCGGAATTCCTCTGGCTCATCGACGACGAAGAGCTCTACGAGGTAAGCTTGTGGGAAGTTCCCCCGGACACCTTGCCGGGCCGGGCAAGGCGCTGCGGGGAACGTGGACCGCCGTGGAGGAGCTCCTGGCGGGGACCACCACCGTCCGGCTTCTAACCTTAAGCCTTCTAGCTATTTATTTTTTAGCGTCCCAAGCCCGGAGAGCGCAGAGACTTTCGGGAATGGGAAAGTGTTTCTGGAGAGCTCTGGGGAGCTTTTCCGCAGCGCTTCTGCAGCGCTACCAGAAATGCTTCCGTGCAGGCCTGCACGCGTGCAGGCTCGCGTGGAAGCGCGCCGGAGGCTTTCCCAGACACGTCGCCGGCTCGCCGGAGGTTCTGCGGGGAACGTGGTCCGCCGTGGACCGCACCACCAGCGTCCAGCTTCTAATCTTAACTTTTTGCCTATCAGCGAGCTCTCCGGGGAAAACCCGGAGAGCGAAGAGACCCTCGCGGACGGATGATCTTTCCTGGAAAGCCCCCGGGGGCTCCCCAGAAACGCTTGTGAAGCGCTGCCAGGAACGCGTCCACGCGTGCCTGCACGCGTGTCGGCACGCGTGAACGCATGCCGGACGCTTTCCCGGACCCGCTGCTACGCGCAGCGAATCGATTCAGAATACAGAACTGTTTGGCAATCAGCGATAGTTCTTAGTAACTCGTAGAGCTTCCCTTAGCAAGTTGTTGCTGGAAGCTTAAGAATAATTTCAGGGCGCTGGAGAGCTAGTTGGCAAGAAGAATTTCGACTGACCTTTTGGTGACTTTTGGTCGGTTGAAAATTTTGTTTTCGAAATTCAACCATTCGTTAGAGCTCTAGTATTTTCCCCCGTGATATTCGATATTATTCCCGCTCGCCGTCTTGATCTCGGCTCGATCGGGTAGATATTACTGCCAAAAAGCACTGCGGCGGGATCGGCCGTTTCGGGTCATCTTGACACGCGGTGGCGGTTTTCTGAACATAACTCGAGCTATAGAAGAACCAGAGAGCTGGTGAGCACACCTTATCGATTCAGAATGATCAGGCGCGTTCGTCTGTTGCATCCAGAGGTGTGAACTCGGTCTGCTGGCCGAGCTGGGTTCGCAAATCTATTCGTATTATTCGAGTCATCTTGACAGGCGCTCTCGGTTTGTTGTTCCTAACTCGAGCTATATGACAGCTACAGAGCTGATACTGCCAGACGCGGATTCAGAATCATCGGTTGCGTTGTCTGTTGCTTCCAGAGCTCTGAACTCGGTCTGCTACCCGATCTAGAATCGCGAAACGATTTGTATTGTTCGAGTCGTCTTGTGGGGTGCTGTCGGTTTTCTGTACTTAACTTAGGCTGTAGGGAGACTACAGGGCTGGTGATCTCAGGAATCGATTCGGAGACATCAGACGCGTCCGTCTGTCGAATCCATAGCTCGGAACTCGGTCTGCTGCCCGAACTAGCTCCGCGGAACTATTCGTATTGTTCGAGTCATCCTGAGAGGTGCTGTCGGTTTCTGCACTTAACTCGGGCTGTAGGGGGGCTGCAGGGCTGGTAATCACAGGCATCGATTCAGAGACACCAGACGCGGTCCACTATTCCATTCAGAGATCTGAACTCGGTCTGATACTCGAGCTAGGTTTGCCGAACTATTCGTATTGTTCGAGTCATCTTGGGAGGCGCTGTCGATTTACGCACGTAACTCGGGCTGTAGGAGAGCTACATAGCTCGTATAGAAGACAATCCAACATCAGGGGCGATCGGCTGTTGCATCGATAGGTCTGGAATCGCTTGGGCTCAAAAACTATTCGTTCTAGCCGTTCGGCGCAGCAATCGGAAGACAATCATCAGGCGCGCTACTAGCTATCAGCGCTGAAGCCGAAACATACCTCGTAGAGCTTTTCGGCATCGATGAGGTAGAGGAATTCCGGCGCGGGGTGGAGCTAGTTGGTCGTGATTCGTACTCTGCTATGTTTTTCCTGGAGAGCTCGCTGAGAGCTAGAGGGCTTAAGATTAGAAGCCGGACAGTGGTGGTGCCCGCCAGGAGCTCCTCCACGGCGGTCCACGTTCCCCGCAGCGCCTCGCCCGGCCCGGCAACGTGTCCGGGAGAGCTTCCGGCAAGCTTCCACGCGTGCCTGCCCGCGTGCAGGCAGGCGTGGAAACGTTTCTGGCAACGCTTCAGCAGCGCTGCAGGGGAGCCCCCCAGAGCGCCAGAATGGCTTTACGAAAGCGTTTGACGGCGCACCAGAGAAGCTTTCTAGTTCCCGGAGAGCTCTCAGAGAGCTAGAGGGTTTTAGATTAGAAGCCGGACGGTGGTGGTGCCCGCCAGCAGCCCATCTCCGCCAGTCCACGATCCCCGCAGCGCCTCGCCCGGCCCGGCAGCGTGTCCGCAGCAATGCAGGATCGCTCCAGAAGGGTTCGACAGAGCTCTGCAGGCGCCCCAGGGGGGTGTGACAGAGCTCTGCAGGAAGGCACGCGTCCACGCGTGCCTGCACGCGTGCAGGCGCACAGGGGGGCGTGCCTGGCGGCGCTTTCGAAGCGCTTCCGAGGGCCCCCAGCAGCTCGCCCGCAAAGATTTTCTGTCCTGGAAGGCGTCTTACCTTGTAGAGCTCTTCGTTATTGACGAGCTAAAGGAATTCCGGCGCGGGGTGGAGCTAGTAACTTGTAGAGCTTCCCTTAGCAAGTAACTTGTAGAGCTTCCCTTAGCAAGTTATTGCTGGAAGCTTACGAGTAACTTGTAGAGCTTCCCTTAGCAAGTTATTGCTGGAAGCTTAAGAGTAACTCGTAGAGTTTCCCCTAGCAAGTTATTGCTGGAAGCATCAGAGTAATTCCCGGGGAGCTCTCTGAGAGCTAGATGGTTTTAGAGTAGAAGCCGGACGGTGGTGGCGCCCGCCAGCAGCCCATCTTGGCCGGTCCACGATCCTCGCAGCCGTTCGTTCGTCCCGGCAGCGGGTCCGGGAGAGCTTCCGGCAAACGTCTACGAGTGCCTGCACGCGTGCAGGCACGCGTGGAAGCGTTCCTGGCAGCTTTCAGAAGCGCCGCAGATGGGCCCCCAGAGCCCCAGAAGAGCTTCCCGGGAGTTTCTGTGGGCTCGTCAGGAAGGCTCTTCGGTGTGTGCCCT